ACACCCGACTTCCCATGATGCATATCTCTGACTGCCATCGCGCCACAATAGAGTTTATGCAAACTCCAGAGTGTCAGCTGTCTTTGCGCACTTACAACATAGCTGCCATGAGCTTTACCCCACAAGAGTTGGCCCAAGAAATCCGCAAGCATCTCCCAAACCTTAAGGTCACCTACAATCCAGACTCTGTCCGCCAGACAATTGGTATGACCTATGCAAACGTGTTGCATGAACATTTTTGTTTATATTTTATTTTATTTTTATTTTATTTAACCTTTATTTAACCAGGAAAGTCCCATTGAGTTAAAGTAACTCTTCTTCCAGGGAGTCCTGGCCAAGAAGGCGGCTTAAAAAGTTACATTAACATAAAACCACAGGAGACAAGACAACCACAGCTACATATCATCTAGGCAAAAGTAAACACAACACAAGATTGGGCATACACATACAACCAAAAAGCAAACAGCAAACAAGGCATCCAATCAAAAACAGTTGCATCTGTCAGTGAATGATGATTTTAACAGGTCTTTAAAAGAATTTATGGATGGAAGTACTTCAAGATTTAAAGTGGCTTGAAGTTCATTCCATGCTTTAGGTGCAAATGATGAAAATGCTGTTTTGAATTGCACAACTCATTTAGACATCGAATCAAAGTTTACTGATATAGCACTTTACAACAACACCAGGAAGACCAAAGTGCTTCACAGAAAGATAAAAACATTGCAAAAAAAAAAAAAAATCATACCAAAATCATAAGCATAAAACAATGTGGCTTAAGTATTAAAAGCCAGTTTAAAAAAAAGAGTCTTTAATCTGGACTTAAAAAGGTGCAGATCAGTGAGAACCTGCAGACCGAGGGGCAGATTGTTCTACACTTTAGGTGCGGTAAACTCAAAGGAACGATCACAGACCAGAGCGCTATATTTAATATCTCAGTAAATATAGCGGAGTGAGACCATGAAGGGCTTTAAAAACAAGTGTTAAAAATGCTTAACTAGCCTATCCTCAACATGTCATGTCAATGTAATTCACTTTAGTCTCTCTATATTCACAAATTCATGACAAATGTCATCCACTGTACAGGCACTTTACAAACCAATCAGAACCAGTTTCTTTGCAAACATTTAAAATCCAATTCCATTCAATATTCTACAACAATCCAATTGTGTTGATTCAGGTTTAGTCGGTAATACATGATCAGTTTGAAATAAAGTTATCAATGTAAGGAAGCCTTGTAGACTTTGCAGCAGTCCCTGGTGAGGAAGCATGTGGTGACAGTGGGGAGGAACTGAACACAGTGTAATTGGTTTTCTGCTTTCAACAAGTTAAAGTTATGAAGACAGGAAAATGAAACAGAAACAAAAGAACTGGGTCAGCAGTAACCATCTTTGTTGAAGATAAAAAAGAGGGTATATAGAGTTAATTTTAGCGATTGCTCTGTTCAACCCTCTTTACTGCAGCTTGACAAAACCACACATAGAACATTTTATATAGAGTTAACGGGAGCATTGAAACCTTCTGTTCTCTGTCAAGGAAAGTAACACCACTACATATGAAATCAGTGGGATAGGGTTATTTTATGTGCGAAAAAAAAACAAAGATGTTTCTCAAAATTAATGGCACCAGAAACTCAGCCAGTATCTCTATACTATAGAAAATGAGATGCAGCCAAAGAGAGAAAAAAAAACAGAATCAGGAGTAGTTTGTGTGGAAAGAAAAACAAAAAAAATATTCAAAGTTAATAAAAGCCAGATAACGGCTTCATCCAGGAAAGAGACAAAGCTGTAAATGAATAAGTGCACTTAGACGGGTGTATTTCTTTTTTTTTTTAAGCAAAAAGTTCAATGGCAAAAATACAGTAGCAGTTTTAATGCTTCTCTGAAGAAGTGACACACCTACTGGTAGAACCACTGGGTGAATAATACTTTCTATGGAAAGGAACTGCAAAGGTTCTGTCTAAAGTAAATGGTACCAATATTACAACACAGGTTATTTTTATGAGATAATAGTAATAAAGCTGGATGATTAATTTATTTATGGTACCACTCTTTGCAGGCTCGGACTGGAAACGATTTTCGACCCTGGCATTTTTCCACTTATGGACTCAACCTGTTCATAATGTTCATAAACCGCCTTGATAAACGAAATGTCGCCCAATTTGAACCAAAGTCTACTGATCTCTTAGGACATAAATCGAAAGAAAAGCATTTTTCACCCATAGACGGCCATCCTAAACTGCCAGATTGGGAAACATCCCAACCTGGCAACAATGCACGTAATACAGGAAACGTTAGCCTTTAGATGCAAAACCCCATCATGCACCGCAGCATATTTTTGCAAAATATTCTAACATAAATTCACCAAATATAAGAGGAACATCGTAGTTTGGTTTAAAGAAAGCATTTTAGTTTTATTATAATTTATTTTGTTGCAAGGATTTTACAGTTTGTAGAAATAGAAATAGAAAATTACACCATATGCCAACATCAAGGATGTGCATGACAAGGAAGGGTGATTTATACTGCATGCATCATTTTATTAGTTAACATTGTATTACTTCATGAGGCCCTTGAGTTATTTACTGTCACAGGTAGGTGCTTCGGCCGGAGAGTAAGTCTTAGGGCCTGTATGATTTAAGGAGGACCGGCCCTCACACGCTGAAATTAGGACCAGCCAGATTACCAGTTTAATTACCTTTTAATTTAATTTAACCCTCATATTCTTCTATTCAGAAATAAACATTTTAATTGCTTTTAAACTCCCACTATTGTAGCATACACCTGATGATGCATTTGTGTTACTTTGCAGCAGACAGCTGGCCTGTAAGATTTGATGACTCCAACGCCAGGAGGGATTGGGGCTGGGCTCCAGCCTTTGGGCTCGATGAGATGGTGACAGATATGCTGTGCTCCGTTAGAGACAAGAGGACCAGAGAGGGATTTCCAGTCAGCTAGCACTGCCTTTTCAGCAGCAGAGAGACAAATTTTACACCACTGCATTTCTTCAGCCTGCATTTACCCATATGCTTGCTCTTACTTCCCTTTGACACAGCATCTGTCTTTTATCAGTAGCTCCCAGTCAGAGCCTTACAATTTACAGTGGAAACAGAAATGTCTCAGTCTGCTTCAGGAAATCATGCACTGTTTAAGCTTTTTATCATATTTGTTTTGTGTAACGTCATAAGCTTCACTTTACATATGAGAAAGTAACCATTACTATCAATTCTTCACATTCTCATACTTTGCTTTAGCGCCATTGATCTTTCCATGCAGCACTACATCACCCTTTGTGTTACAGTGTATGGACCAGCTGCAGCCTTCAGAGTAACCAAACCATTGTTTAAACCAGAATCTTCTGGAATGGCTGCTCATCTAACTCTGGACTGTATTTACCACAATGTTCATTATGTCTCTCTGTTCACTCTTTCATGATATTAATAATAAAAATGAATAGACCCTCGATGTAGAATCTTTGACAGGAGATTATTTGATTTTCTTAGACAGAACTGGGTTTGAATAACTATTATTTCTGATAGTGAATGAAAATATGGTGTTCAAGAACAATAAAAATATTATTCAGCCGAAGTAGTGTTTTACTCTATCCATAGAAAAAGATAATGATGCTACACAGTTAAATATAAATAACGGCAAAATAAATATAGTGTTTTTTTGTCATTACAATTTGCTTTTGATTAAAATGATGGATTATTAATTATAATCTCCAATTATAATTCTAAATTATTTTTCAGAATCAATGAGATAAAATTGCACCAAAAACAAGTGTGGGAGAAAATTGATAGATATTTGAAAAGGGACATACAGAATAGGATTAGGGTCACTCAAAAAAAAAAAAAAAAAGGCTAATGAATTCTGACCTATGGCCAGAGTTCTGACTTCAATCTCAGAATTTTGACTTGAACCTGAGGAATTATTTAATTAAATTCAGATATAAATACATTTTTTCTTTTTTTTTCAATGGCCCTAATCCTTTTCCACAGGCACCAACTCAGAAATGTCTGAAAATCTATTTTTTTTTTTTTTTTTTTTTGGTTAACTATATTTCATAAGCTCAACCCTCCTATTTACTTTAGAGATTTACCATGAATAATTTTTCATGTTCTCATACTTTGCTTTTAGGCCGATTATTATTTCCTCCAGCTCTGACAAGGTTCATAGGCCGTGCTTAACAAACAATTTTCAACAAAATTACCCTGTTAGCACATTCATTCAGAGCTGGGATGATGGGTTTGTGGTTCTATATATTTTTTTTAACTAATAAAGAAAAGTTTCTCACAAAAGAGTCATATGATCTTAAGACCATTGTCTGTTTTTGTTTAATCCCTGGTAGCCTTACAGCTTGATTATTTCTAATGAAAGTTTATTTTGTACCTTAAATAGAGAACAAAATATATAGCATAGAATTGTTTACATAATCTTCTTGTAACAACTTGTAACAAGTAACAACAAATATATGCATTAAATTCTATTATACAAATGCGTTATTTTTAGATATCGAACGATTATTAATAGAATCATATCTCATTAACAGGATCATTAATGAGAGAAGAGGAAGGGATTAAGTGATAATGATCAGATTAAGAGTTGGTCATACCTATGTAAATGACTATTTATATTTAATAGGGAGGAAAAATAATTATATATGTGAAGGATGTGGAGAAAAAAATATAGAACATGTGCTGATGAACTGTAAAACTTATGAACATGAAAGGGAGAAATTGAGAAGGATCTTTGGAAGGACTGGTAAAGAATGGATTCTTAAAGGAATATTGGGAAATGAAGGAAATATAAAAGATATTCATAGATTAAGGAAAGCATTATTTATTTATCTACAGAATACAAAATTAAAAAATACATTTTGATGTAAAGTAATGTTGCTACACACTCATGCACAGTAGGTGGTGGTATGCACCTTAAACTTGCTTGCGATCCGCCATAATAGAAAAGGAGAAGAAGAAAAAATCCGACCCAACAGGAAACAGTTTCTACGTGTAATGCCTGGCTCCTTCCCGTAGGGGGCGCCCGCTCCATCTGGCTCCCACTCAAGATTTTCACCGAGGCGACGTACGTCTTTATTCACGGCGCCTGTCACAATCGTATTTCAACGAAAATGGACGCGGGATTTTTCCGCGTAAGTGCTTTAAAATAACTTGATAATACGTTATAACCCGTTTGTTTCATTTCATGGTGATATATTATTGCTATTTGGCGTCAATACGGCGTGTGTGATTTAAGTTGGAGGCCATACAGTTGGAAGCGGTGCGGTCATGGCTTCGTCTATCAACTGATGGAAAACAATTTGAATGCCGGTTTGAGGGACTTTCTTTTATTCAGCTAAGCTTTAATATGAACAATTTGTTGCTTGCGGAAGTACTTTTTGATTTATTTAGTTAACCTTTGTTTTGCTGGTTGGTAGTGTTTTAGGTTATTTTAGGTTGTTGCAGGAATTAGGCCAGACCCTGGCTTAAGATGGCGCCTGCCCGGTGCGTCGCTTGTGTTTCCGATTAGCTATTCACTAATACTTTTACGTTTTTCTAACTGTAAAACTTAGAAACATGTCAGTTTAGTATTTGCACAATAATGTCCTGCATTTCTTTCAACCTGTTTTGATTGTGGTGACACCTACGAAAGTTGTATATTGATTTTGAAGAGTTAGCAATAGCTCAGATATTCTGACTAATAATGTTTGCTTTTATTTTTTTAGGGTACGAGTGCGGAGCAAGACAACCGTTTCAGCAACAAGCACAAAAAACTGCTAAAGCAGCTGAAATTTGCAGAATGTCTGGACAAGAAGGTGGGTGGTGTCCAACTTTACGCAGTAGTGAAATTGCTGTTTATATCGCAAAATTATTATTTTTTTGTGAAAGTCTGCAAACTTGAAGTCTTCTAGCCAAGCTGCAAAAGTAAAATATCACTAAGAGTTGTGCAAATCAAGCCGATATTTTCTATTTATGACTGTCAAATCAATAGACGCACAAAAAATGTGAAGGATTACAATATATATTACAATATGTGTGTTCCTTGTGGGGTTAGTGGGTAAGATCTTGACTTTATTTCATAGATTAAAATATAAATCTCTGGTGTTCTTTATTGTTTTGATTTTTATTGTATACATTGTTCCTAAGACTATTCTATCTGTATAGATGAGTAATACTAGCTGACACCTCTTATCAAACTAAAATAGCTGCTACTGATAAATAAGGAAATTATCATAAATTAAACTGTTGCCTAGGAGTCGCACAAAAATCATGTGGGTGTTTGGTAGGTGTCTAGTAAAATAAAAATGTATCTTTTCTACTTTGGTCAGCAGTAAACAAAGAATAATTTTCTTAGAAGAATCCAAATCTTAGAAGTGGTAACTGATCAGATAATTGGTTGGATTTTTTTTTACTTAAAATTGCAAAGCCTTAGAAAATAATTGAATCACTGTCAAAATGGACACCAAATACTTCAGGTGAGTAAGAATTGCTGCACGTATTGTGGGAAATGTGCGATTTGGACTTTACATTTTTAATTCTTGCTGTATTTTGCTACAGTGGCATTTAAAACAATCACAGAAAGTGTTAAAGATACATGAAGGTCCTTTTGGCTATAAAATTGTTCTTGCATAGAATCACAAATACTCCTGTAAAAATAGAACTTTAATTTTATCAGGAAGATAATTTGCTGCAACAGACAAAGTAGTGCATTAACTGCTGAATATTCATCCATTTTCTATACCATACAGGTGGGCTGGTGCCTATCTCCAGTGGTCATTGGGCGAGATGCAGGGCAAACTCTGGATTGGTTGCCAGTCCATCGCAGGGCAATCCTGAAAAGCACAAGATAATTGAAACTAAGGGTGTCCCGATACAACTTCCAAAACGATACCAATATTTCAGCTTTGAGAATTTGCTGAAACTGACATTGACCCAATACGATATTAGCACAAATCAGATCAGCTTTTATTATTTATTTTATACTGTAGAATGTAAGAAAAGGACTGATCAGGTAATAGAACGAAAACAACAAAAGCTGTTTGCAGAAGCATCAGTTAGACTTCATTATCTTTAACTGCTCTTTTTTTTTCTCACATAAGTCCTGTTAAACTTAATGTTGTCTTGCCCAACCCTGAAGGGAGAAGGCTTTCGTGTAGTAAGAGTAGTAGTAAGTGAGAGGAGTTGTTGGTGAAGACTGAACTACAACATTGCTGCTACATTAAAATGTTTCCTTTTTTGTAGAACATGTTTTTTTTTGTTTTTTTTGTATTAACATGGTGTCTTATGTTTTTTTTCCCTAGGTGGACATGACCAAAGTGAACCTAGAAGTCATCAAACCATGGATTACGCAACGTGTGACTGAGATTCTGGGGTTTGAGGATGACGTGGTCATAGAGTTCATATTCAACCAACTTGAAGAAAAGGTAAAGTCATTGTCTTAACTTTGTGTTGTTTGTTTACATACCTGTTTTTAAATTAAGGCTTTTGCTTAGTCAGTAAGAAGGGACATAAACAGATATTTGCAGATCCTAGTGACACTGAAAATGAGTGGGTAAAAGAAAAATAGTCTGATTTGTTTTACATGACCATGTTTTGCTGTTTTGTGACAACATGCCTTTATCAGCAGTCTTCTAATGATGATGTGATTTATGATTTAAAAGGCCTGAACCAATATGGATGTTATACCTTGCATCAGAAGTATAGCACCAACATCTAATTAGCTCTCTCCTGAGCCCAAAGTCTCTGAGCCCAACTCTCCCTTCATGATGCAGTGTGTGTTTTGAGGTGAGTTGTATATAGGGATCATCCATATCATGCCAGTGAAAGACAAAACTGAACAGTGCCATAATCATACTGTCCGTATTGATTGATAGTTCAAAATGATGCTGCTACGTTCATTTTTAAATGTTATATATGAAAAAGAATAATAAAGAAAAAAGAAAAGCCAATAGCTTGTTGCTTGGCATTATATTTAGTTTTCTTACCTGTTGAAAAACTGAAAAGTATTGTCTCACTGACCGCCCGGATTGCAAGTTTCACCTCAATATCTGTAGGGTGAGGTTGCACGTTTATTCATAATTGCACCTCTCAGCAGCTTCTATATCCTCTTAAGTTTTTATTTAGGAACAACATTTTGGTTGATTAAAAAGAACCTTTAAAATCTCAGCCAATCAAAATGGATTAGTGTTTTATTGTTGGGGATAAGTTTATGTAAGGATAAAAATAAAATGAATAACCATATTTAAACAAAGAGGGAAAAGAACAACACATGTCACATTGGACATAAAATACAGAAAGCTTTTAATTTCTCTCTCTCTTTTTTTTTTTTTTTTTTTTTCAAATTGGAGACTTTGTATGTGGTAACTAATACAACCAACTTAAGTATTTTTACTTTTTACGGTTTTTAACCATTCTCTTTTTAATTCAAACTATTTTCTTTTCTTTTGATTTTGGTCTGGCCTTATAAATTCTGTTTTGTTTTTGTTTTGTTTTTTTTCTTATTATTTTTAAGGCAAAAACTTTCTATTTTAATGTTGCTGCAATATTGTTCTTCTATTTTTGCTGAACCTTTCAATGCACATCTTTGAAATTAAAAATAAGTGCTTTACAGTTGCACATTGATAACTTCAACCACTGGAGGTCAGCAAAACACCATTTCATTTACTGGAAGCAATACTTTTCAGCTTAGTAGTAATTTCCCAATGGACACCTTCTTAAAAAAAACTTTAGCTTTGCTTTAACCTGAAATCATTTTTTTTTTGTGTCACAGGGTTTTATTTCCCTTAACAATGTTTACTTAATATAATAAAACTAAACCAAAAATATCCATTATACACTCACCTTACATTCAAACCTCTTGATGCCCACGTATTGGTTGGTTATTGCACATATTCAGTATATTTGATTTTAGGAATATAAGGCCTCAGAGGGTCCAAAACCATGAAACAATGGAATATCTCTGCTAGCATCATTACTGGCCTCGTATATGACTATAGATTCTCTGTGTTTAAATTCTTTGGTATTTATTCCAAATGTTCACATCAGGATCAGTTCTAGTTCATTTGTTCTACTTCTGAGTTTAGTTTGCCATAGTTTTTCTTTTAGTTTTGCGGTTTTGATTGAGCTAACTGTAAAGTACTTTGACATTGTGGAAAGAAATTGTATTGTAATAGAGTTGAGATGATGATGTGTCTCAATTTAATCTAGTTTTAAATAAAATATCTACTTTTGTTTAACTGTGTACTCATTATTGCTTGTTCGTCTCTTGCAATTTAGATAAATGATATAACATTATGCTCAAGGTGGTTGAGTCTCAAGCAGTAGGGAGGCGGAAGCAAGCCAATGGAGCTCCGTGCCCACTGATCCCACGGGACTCACTGAAGACACCGGGACTGTACTTGCTGTGTTTGGTTTTCATGCACTCTGTATTGTGCTTACTTGTTTAACCTCAGAAGTGTAGACTGTGGGGAGACTGGAAGAAATGGGGGTGGGTAGTGATAGGGGACTGAAAAGTAGTGGGGTAGGTCAGAGGAATACAAATAATCTCTCCAAATGCTGTTATAGGGTTTACTGTTATTAACATTTTACAACAGCATTTTTTTGCATGCATTTTTACACTACTAGACATGTCTCCCCTCAGCTAACTCACATATTCAGTTCCAAACGATTGTGAGTACAATACAGTTTGAGTAAATCGCTTATTTATTTATTTCTTTTTTTTTTCTCTTTTTATGTTTCCAATTCTGATAGTGAAACACTGAGATGTTAAGTATTTGTTTCAGTGTTCTACATGTTATACATTTTGATAAAGCTAATTTCACCTAAGGATTAGTTTAGACAGGGTTAGAAGGTAGGACACCCCTTTCATGGGACCCTGCCTCCCTCCCAATGTTTTCTCTGCAATTATTTAAACGGCCATATTTGTTTCTCTCTTTCCCTTCATGTTTGTGTTGCAGCATCCCGACAGCAAGATGATGCAGATCAACCTGACGGGGTTCTTGAACGGGAAGAATGCCCGGGAGTTCATGAGAGACCTTTGGCCCCTGCTGTTGAGCGCTCAGGAGAACATTGCTGGCATCCCGTCTGCTTTTCTGGAGCAAAAGAAAGAAGAAATCCGACAGAGACAGGTGATGACCTGCATAACACAGCGGCTCAGGAAAATCTCACATTAGAGGAGAGCCCCGAATAAATAAATAACAGTTATTATAACCCAATGAGAAAAAGATCATTTAATGGGCTCAAATCTTTATAGGTTTAAAACATTACTGTAGAAAGGATTTCAATATTCTATACTTAGGCTGATAGGATATTTAAAATCCTAACTCATTGTGGTGGCTGTGGGTTTTTCTCTGAGAAGTCTCTGCTCCTCCCTTGGTGGGGGGTCGGACTTCCTGGGTTGGCCCCTCCTGGGTGCCTTTGCTCTTGGTATCCCTTTGGGCGTCTGGGACTTTGGCTCCCCAGCACTCTCCTCTGTGCTCCGGAGGGGCGCATCTTTGGCTCTTCGCAACCACTATTAAGCATTTTTCCTTTGGATAAACTTTACATACACAACTGCACTCTCACAATTAACTACAGGTGCTTGGCTCCAGGTACTGAGGCCACGTTCACACTGCAGGCCGTAATGATGAAATCTGATTTTTTTTGCTTTGCTATTCACATTTCCAAATATATGCGACTTGTATGTGATCTCCTGTGTGTACTGCATTCATACAACGCAAGTGTCCCGCATGCGCAGTAGGGGATGTAAAGACATCAGAAGCGAGCGTGCTCTGTTTACGGAAGTAAACATGGATGGTAGAGCATCTAGCGATCTTTCCCAACCTTATAAACACAATCTTTTCGAGATTGTTAAACATACATACTGCTCTCTGGATCATCGTCCGGCATGGTTGTTGTTTTTCTTGCCGCTTCTGCGTAGCAAGACGCAGAATAGTGACCTTTGGCGCTCAGGTTAAATGAATGATTAATGACCGTTCAGACACAGGTCGTGTTTGAAAAGCTCAGATTCACATCGGATTCAGGACCACAGAGCCATGTGGCCTGGGTCACATTGGAAAAAATCTGATCTGTGTTGTTCAGACTGTCATGAAAAGATCAGGTGCAGGTCGCATAAGAGCAAAAAAAAAATCGGATTTGGGTCACTTCGGGCTGCTTTGTGAACGTAGCCTTAGAAATTCACTTCCATAAAGAAAGTCTATATTCTTATCTTCAGCTGCCACAGTGACATGTCAGATTAAATAATGCTAATTATACTTCAGCAATAGTATCAAGGTGTTACTTTATTGTATCTCTTATACTGTATCCGTTGGTTGTGCTGTTCTTTTCACATCTCTTTGCAAGTGACAAAGCACACTGAAGATGTTTTATCTTTGTCTCCCTTTTATCTCCTCTTTCTTTCATCTTTTCTGCTTTTTTTTCTGTTTTTCCTTTCCTTTTCTACTTACATTGTAGTCTCCATATAATCTGTAATACTCCCTGCATGAATTATAATAAAGCTATTTATATGCATTAATCAAGCGGAACACTATGGCGACAGCCGTACTGCTCCACTTTTGAAAGTCAAATCGGTTGGGCTCTTTTTGGCTTCAGGACATAGAAATTCTAACTCTGTTGAATTGTTAATTGCCCATGTTAACAACACAACTGTTCCATGTCTGGCAGATTGAACAGGAGAAACTTGCCACCTTGAAAAAGGTTGACCAGGATAAGAAGGACAAGGAGACCAGAGAAAGGACTCGATCAAAGAGTCCAAGAAGGTGAGGGTTTTCTTTTGTTACCTGGTGTATGAGCGTGAGGACGTAGCTTTTGCTAGCCTGGCCAGCCAGACTAATGCAACATGTACACGGCATATTAGTCTGGTAAAGGTACAACTCTATTTCAAAGACAAGACTAAGAGAGTCAGCCTCCTCGTGTTAGAACCAATCAGATGATAACGGATGTGACACAGACTCAAAGCGATGTGCTGTTTTTAATATTTTGTGGTCCGTGTAAGATTTTAAGCAGTTTAAGAAATTTAACAGTTTTTGAGGTTCTACCTAAAAATCTGAGGATATAACGTGTGGTCTCAAGTAGTTCCTTAATTTTCTTTGCATCATTGGTCTTTGCGGTCGCCAGCCTGTTGTAATGCTAGCAGAGAAAGGGCTGCTCATGGGTAATTCTGGCGCCAAGAGCCATGCATTATAAAGTCCTGCCCCCTGCGCAGTGAATGTATTTCCGTCTGGCTGGCCAGGCTAAGCATTTGCTACAATTGCAAAAATTGTAATTGAAATCAGCTTTCATTTTACAAGGCACCAAAACATGGAACACATTACCTGCAGAACTGAAGGGAGAGTCAAACTGGGTCCTTTTTAAACATAAACTTAAAGAGTTTTTATTGAGAGGTCAGTCATGTGAACATTAATAATCTAACTGACCTGACTTTATTTCTGTGATGTTTCAATGTGTAATTTGCTCTGTTGTTCTTGTGTACAGTCACTGTGTTTTGTGTAAAAGCCTAACTGGGGACAGACATTGAGAATTAGCCTTAGCTAAAATGTTGTAGTGTGTGACATGATGCATGAAACATACTTGTCCCTATCAAATAAATAAATAAATAAAATATGGCTCCTTTTCCACTGAAAGCACTGGAATTTAACACCCCAGGATTTTTACTATCCGGGTAATTCATCGGGTTGCTCTCTCATTACTGTGGAAGCCCAATGAAACTGCACTACACCTTCAGTCCAGTGGGTGGCGGTAGTAAAAACATGTGGCTCTCCCTTTACCTCTGGCCAGCTATAAGTAAAACCCAGGCTTTATAAATTTGTTTGACATTTCATTTTTTTTTATCAACCTTCAGTGTTTTTAACTGTATGAATCATTCGAAATGAGTACAAAAAAAAGTAATTTACACGCTTATTTTCTTTTATTATTACCAATTAAACCCCAGATATCTACAGGACAAACAGACATTTTTAGTCAAAATCTTATTTATTAAATTCTACATCCACAAACAGTGAAGTAAGTATAAATGTATTTATCCTATGTTGATGAATACACAGATAACTTCATTTAATGTTTATATTCTATATTTGGTCAAAGACAAGTATAGTTTTGGTCGGCAGTGACGATTCTCCCTATGTTTAGCTCAATCTGAACCAGTGTTGATTTTATACATTTATCTCTATATTAAAATGTGTCCTGCTGTTTGTCTGATCAGATGGAAGACGAGGTCACCAGGAAAACGCGAAAGGAAACGCAGTCCATCGCGATCCCCAGTGCGTAAACCTAGCCCGGTTGGTGGGGACTCTCCCCCTCCGCCTGTGGTTCAGTCAAACACTAAAACATCAGAGCAGCCCGAGGAGCCGGACACATCAGGAACAGGCCTGCCAGAGACGGTTATCCAAGAAGCTTCGTCTACAGGATTAATGTAAACCATTCCTCTGAATCTAAAATATATTTGGTTTCTATCTTCTTGCACGCTTCCTTCAAAATCCATTTTTCTTTTCTTGGTAGTGATACAGTTGTAGAGTCAGTTAAAGCAGACTCTGTGGCTGAAGTCAAAGAACCATCTAGAGAAAAATCCCCGAAGAAAGAGGAACGACCAAGATCTCGTGAAAGGGAAAAGGACTCTAGGAGGGAAAGGCCCCACCATCGCTCACGTTCTCACTCTCGTTCCCGCAGACGACGCTCTCGGTCTAGGTGACACTTTACACACACCACTATACTAATATATGCCTTTGCCTTGTTTATATCGATGTATAAAATATCAAACTAAATTGTTTCCTCTTCGCTGTACTAGATCTTACTCCCCTCGTAGAAGGCAAAGTCCCAGGAGGAGAATGTCTCCTCGACGAAGGAGTCCACCTAGACGTGGCCCCACTGGCTCCAGGCACAGACACAGACGGTCCCCTATTCACAGGTCAGTGTCACATTTTGAAATATTCATTACTAAGATCAGATTTGGGCTTTTTTTATTGTCTTGGGTATTTATAAATGTGTTAATTTTAGGCGACGTTCCCGTTCTGCTTCATCTTCTGGTAGCAGCTCCTCTGGGTCACGTTCACCTAAAAAACCTGTAAAAAGAATATCTACCACACCACCCCGAAAACAAGCCCATCATCCCGATGTATCTGTAAGCCCCGCTAGGAAAGAAAAGAGCTCGCCTTCTCCTAGGGCCAGGAGAGGCCGGGGCTCTCCTTCCCCTCCCAGATCATCAGGTACAACCTCCTCCATTTGGACGTAGATCTCTGTCCCTCTACAACATTCAAAATTGTTCATCTTTGTGAATGTATTTTTAAACTCAAGAGTTGCTTTCAGGACTGAAACGAAAACCTGGAGGAAGGGATGATTCTCCTCCTGATTTTGTGAAGGCCAGAACATCTGAAGGGTCTGAATCAGGTAAGAGTTTTCATCTTAGAAGAGAATCAAAACGAGCCCTGTCAATAATGCAGCACAATCCCTGCAAACTTATTCCCCCTTTATAAGCATGTTGAAGCTCCACATGTTAAATATGGAACTAATAGAACAGGGAGCTGCAGCAAAAATCTGTTTAAAATGATTAATTAAGCGCTTCAGAAATCTGATTTTTATGGAACATTTGCAGGAAAGAAAAGCTGCTATAAAATCCGTTTTGGAATGTGTTCATCAAGTTCATGAGGGTGGTCTGGGACGAGATTGAAAACATCCAAAAAGACTGGTTAAACACTTATACTTGAACAACCCTTCACTATAGTGAAAAATAGTGGAGGTGGTACCTAATGTGACACAATGGAAAGGGTTGAAAAGTAAGAAAACAAAATGCCTTTTTATGCATTAAGAGTCGGTTGTCTACCATACTGTTTAAATTTTCACCATATAATGACCAAATTAACTTCCTCTAAACTGTTCCTGGCATTGCTCACACTGATCAGACACTTAATGCTTTACATTTCAGAGGAGGATAAAAATGAGAAAGGGGCAACAGCAGATTCGGTGCAGCAGCGACGTCAGTATCGCAGACAGAATCAACAGTCTTCTTCAGGTTAAGAAGCGTTTTTGTTTTGTTTTTTCCTCCCTGTCCAAACAGAGTTTCTCTCTCTATCATCTTGCCTCCATTGTCTCATGGACTTTAGAAGCTGTGTCGTAGATCCAACCTTGTCTTGTTTTTTTTTCTTGTTTTTTTTCTCTTTACAGCAAAGCATAAAGTCATAACTGACAAGAAACTGATTTATATTTTTGTTTGTTTTCAGATTCAGGATCTTCGTCCTCAGAAGACGAAGGACCAAAGCGGCCGACAGCGGGGCCAGGCGCCAGAAATGGTGAAGTTAGAAGGAAACGGAGCCGTACACCCTCACCTCGTAGGCGGCATAGAGACCCCTCCCCAAGGTAGGGTATACTTTTAAAATATCATTATTTTTCTCATTGTTAAATTGGTTCAGGGTCTTCTCTTTTTACCCAATGTGAGATTTAAATGTTTTTATACATTTACACATTCAGGAGGAGACGTTCTCCATCTCCAGTACGCAGACGTCGCTCTCCTTCCCCGCCACGACGTCGGAGATCTCCCTCCCCTCCTAGACGCAGGTACTGTTGCTGTAATGAAAATAGTCACCTATCAATAGTTTTGAAGTGGTTTGCTTTACAAATACTTCTCTTCCCAGGTCTCCTTCCCCTCCTCCGCGTCGTAGGTCTCCGTCTCCCAGGCGTTATTCTCCTCCTATCCAACGTCGCTACAGCCCCTCACCTTTGCCCCCACAGAAGAGGAAGCTGTCCAATTCCCCCACGAAACGCTTTTCTCCTGGTCCAAAGCGGCGCTCCTCCAGGTCGCCTAAACGTAGAAGTTCTCCTCCTCAGCGGAGACGTTCTCCTCCCTCCACTGTTTCTCCTCCGAGACACAGGAGGAGCCCGCTGTCTGCCAGGCCAAGCAGGGACACTCGATCCCCTGTTGGATCTGCTAGATGCCTCTCCAGGTCGCCGGCGAACCGCAGTCGCCCTATTAGGCGATCCACTAGTCCCCAAAGACGCTTTCAATCTCCCAGCATGTCTCCGTCCAACCAGCGAAGACAGCTGTCCCCTCCACAGGGCAGTAAACTCATCCGCAGGGTGTCTCGCACCCCAGAGCCACGGAATAAACGGTACAGATAGAAAAAGCTTTCATCCAGAAGTGGCAGATCTTTTGTAATCGTTTTACATAATTTGTTGCTAACTATCTTTCCTTTGTTTATAGAATCTCTCCCAGTCCAAAGCCGATAAGGAGAGCATCCTCCAGATCACTTTCCCCTCAGCCTGCAGCTCAGAAGCGTCCAGCCTCTGCCTCCCCCTCACCTTCTCGCTCTGTGAGTGGGTCTCCACCACCACCCCCTGCTAAAAAGGCTAGCAGTGCTTCTGGCAGTCAGTCTCCAGGAAAGGTTAGTCAAGAATAATATAAAAACTCATTTATTTCGGTTGTACTTTATCTTTTGAACTCCCTCATAAATTCTCTAAAAAGTATGAAGAGCAATGTCTTAAGACGGGATTTTTCCATCCCTGAAATGGAGGCAAATATCAGCAGCATCTTACCTGCCTGTCTGGACTGTTGTCCAGAGTACATGATTCAAACCACTTCCCTTTGGCAGCAGGCTGCATAGGGAGGCTGATTTAATTTTCCCACACAGAGTACCACTTCCTGCTTTAGCCGTGCTGCATTTCTCCACCGTTATCTGACTGAAGTCCCATCGAGAACATATTAGTATTAGGAAGATGAGACACCAGAGCTTCGGATGCAGACAAGGTCAAAGGTCGTGGTTTAAAAAAAAAGGGTGCATTGTATGACGGAGGAGACTCATTCACGACCTCCAAAACAAAACTCCTCCTGTTGCATGTTTCCGCTGTCCATAGCGTTCCTTGACAGTGTTGTTTCTAAGTCACCAATTTAGTGCTACTTGGTCCCAATGGAATTTTCTATTGGGAAACTACTAGCACTAAGTTGCTAACTGGTTAGCAAGATGCTTCCGAGAAACCGGCCACAATCAAACTTGCTTGCGAACTTTCCGCCAATGAAATTCACTTAATTCACTCGTGTAAAGTCGGGCACCACTTGGGAGAATTCGGAAATGTAATGTTTAGAACAGCTGTTTCCCTACGACTTTAAAAAAGCAGAATGGTTTTATAGTCTTAACTAGTCAAACACCTTTAAGCAGAGTCCAACTGGGCACCCATTTTGATGTGCATATAAAGTTGAACAAATGCTCCCCTGGATGACGTGTTGGATGAAGTGTTTACATTGTTAATTATAGTGTGTGTTTTGGATCAGTGTGCTTCTGTTTGCTTGCTTGTTGCTAATCCATAGCAGTGTCCTTTCTGAGGAACCAAAAGGGATTTTTTTTGTTTCTTTTTTACAATATCAACAGTGGTCTAGTCCTCAGAAATGTTTTCAACAGCAGCCCTGTTAAGGTTCTGATGTTCAGGTTATTCCTAACGTATTTTTTTTCTTGATCAACCTGTCAATCAGTAGATTGATCCAGGTTCCAGCTAGTGGCTTCTGGTGGTTTCAAACTATAGGCTGCAGCTCTCTGTTGGTTCCAAGCAATGATTTGCTTCAGCAAAGCAAAACAGACAGATGTGGAAGGCTTGATAGTTCTAGGGAAAATTTTTCTTTGTAGGGTTGCTTTGTTTTTGCAGATGTTTACATGAAAATGACTTCTTCACACCTGTAATCGAAGCAGCCTGAGCTTCTGATTGACTCTTAGCAGCAGATTTCCTATGAATTAACCATAACCAAGTAGTCAGTGAATACACTGCACAGTAAATGGAAATAATTTTCAATAGGCCATTCTTCTATATTTAAAAATCCTTCTTAATGGTCTTGAATATGTAATTTTACTTTTTGATGAGACTCTTTATTTATTCAGATGCACCTGTGATTAAAAAAAGAAATAATCTCTGATGGGGGTTGACAAAGTTGAAATCTGTATAATACGTGGGACATTTGATAGCATTATCTAAAATCTTTTGCAGAACTCTGATGTGGATGGTGGTGGGAAGAAAAAGAAGAAGAAGAAGGAAAAGAAACATAAGAAAGATAAGAAGCACAAAAAGCACAAGAAGCATAAGAAGGAAAAGAGCAGTGCCGCTGTGACCAGCGACGTTCAAGAAAGTCGGGCTGCAGAGGAGGATGGTGATTCAAGAAAGGTAAAGGACTTGTAGGTTTGTTTGGTTTTTTTTTCTACCAATAATGGTATAATTTCTATATAATGTTTCCTAAATTTAAAAGATGCATTGATATTGTGCAGGAATCAGAGAGCGAAGTTGACGACAGCTTAGATGATCTGGAGAAACACCTCCGAGAAAAGGCCCTGCGCTCAATGAGGAAGGCCCAGCTGTCTCCCTCAGAGATGTCCTGAGAACAAGACGCCTTTGAGTTTTCCCTTTCACTTTCGATGTTTGTTATCATCTTAGGTTCAGCTTAAGAATGTACAAATTGTTGATCCTTGGTTCTTTTTACTGGTTTGGTACATTCTGAAGAGTGAGTTTCTTTAATAAATGAATCCATTAGATAGTTTAAACTGTAAAACTTGTGTTGTCGACAGTTTAAGAACATTTTAATTTCAGAGGTTTGAGTTGGGCAGGTTAATGATGCGCGTTGATGTGCAGTCGTACATTTGAGAAAGGATTGCATGTGTGTTAATATGTCTGATGTGCATGGACCGCTGACCATATGATGAGTGAAGGGGAACTAACACCACTCAATAAGATACTGTTACCCAGCGTCAGGGCCCTGCTCACCCAAGAGACTTTAAATATTCTGACTTTCCTGGGTTGTTGGAACATCATTTAACCTGCTTTATTCTGACTTTGAAATTGTCTTATTTGAAAATAAAAGCAATTAAATGTGATTCAGGCTTTTTTTTTTTCTAAATTGATCGATATGCAATTTGTGTTGATACCCCTGAACAGCTGTTTTCTGTGGGACTGCTATAGTGTATGATTTGTATTTAGTAGCCTTTTCTCTTGTCATCCTTTCAGAATTAAAGCTTTTTTTAAGACTGGGTGAGTGTTTCTGCTTGGAAACCATGTTTACTCATGTTTATCTGCTAAAGAAATACAATTATGTAGCCTGGTAGTTTTGAAAAGCTTTGGCCTGTTGCTCTGATTAGGGATTTTAATTTCCATCCTACATCAAGGTAATAAGATGTTCTGCAGGTTGAAGCTTATTTTGATTAACTGGTTTGAATTTTACTATTTGATAACATTTTACAAATTTTAATGAATATCTTAAAAGGTTTTGAACCATTAAAAAAAAAAAAAAACGTAAAGTTTTTGGGACAGGAACAATTTAAAGGCACACCCAACCGTGTTTTTCATGTCCGACAAAAAATTGCATTTTACCAATAACAGCTATTTTTCCTGGCTCTATTTTAAGGAATCCAGGTACTTATGCTTATATCCTCATTTTAAGTCCTCTTGTTGTATTATTCCCATTCATTTCCTTTTAATTCCCTTTTTGCTTCTTTTGCCTTATCTGCCTTTTTTGCTACATTATAATGCCTTAAAGTTTCTCAGTTTTGCAGATTACAATCTAAGGCTGATAAGCAACAATTGTATGATGAACTCGTCATGCTGTAATAAAATATTTAGGGTACCCTTTTTATTTTGTAATCATTTTAATATCCTTTGAGAGTTTTTAAGCATTTCATAAAGCGAAATATACATCCACACAACTCAGGTTTTTCACGCAGGTTTGATCAAAAGTTAAGAATAAAAGTTGAATGATTTTTGATTTGAGCCAAATGTTCTGGGAGCACTGACAAAATAACATTAACATATTTAATTTGAATTTTTTTTAATCCTTAACTAAAAAAAAACGTTTAAAGTGAAAGACTGGATATGGCTTAATATCAGGGTGTTGGCAAGGAGTCCTGACAACCTTTTAGAAGTTCATACTTTTCCAGACTCCAATTTCTATATTTTTCTTATCAGAAACAAACTACCTGATTAAATGGAAGTCTGTTTGACTCAAAATCGTTCAGGTTATGAGTAGTTCTGTTTCTCTGTGACTGGCTGGATCTACTCTTTCCTGTTAAAAGTGTTAAAAGAGTTTTTCCTCTCCATTGTCCCTACAAGCATGCTTAGTGTGAGGGATTGCATTCAAGTGAATGAGTCCATGCAATCAGCTGGTTTTCCATAGAACTTTTAATCAATTTGACTGTATGATATGGTGATTAGTAAAGTGCCTTGATCAGTGTACAATCTAAGTCTCTTATGTCTTAAATATTGTGAATTGTTGGCGCGCAAGATCATCTAACAACTCCGTTGTGTATTATATGGTAAAATGTGTTGCCATAGCTGCAGCTGCAGCCACCAAGCGGCTCCCGGGTTCACCATCTTCAGGCTGGAGCTTCCCCTCCCTCCAACATTTCTCAGTGACATCACGCTGCTCAGTATTCCCGTTCCCCCAGAGCCATCATCACTCTCCACACAGGACCAACAGAGACAGCTTCGCTCATTAATGATGGTTTTGTAGCCCAGTTAGCTTAGTGGACGCTTCTAGCAGCCGTTGTATTGGCAGAGCCCGCTGCCCTCTTTTGTCTGCCTCTTAACTGCCGCTGCTCCTCCATCGGAGGGGAAGAAATTATCCACGAGGTTACGGTACCAAAACTACCAACAACAAAAAAAGGAGTTTGGAGGGGAAAAAAGAACTGTTTCGGGCGTGGTAGCAAAGAAAAAAAAAGTAATTTTTGTCCAAAACTTTTAAAGAAGCAGCTACAATGTCGCTGTCGGTGCCACAAAACGGAGTAAAGGCGGACGACGAGCCCGTTATCGAGCTCTTTGTAAAGGTAAGACTGGAATACAGGCATTTTATTCAACAAATACGCTCATTTTCTGTTTTTTTCTTTCACTATTGAAGCTCAGCTAACACACAAGGGAAGCAAAACTGCTGTTTTTTATCAATAAAACATTTAAGTATACCATTAAAACCCCTTAGGATGACTTTTAATCCGACATGACGTCTTTTTCTGCTTTTAGACGCATTTATATTGAATAGGTTTGATAATGTGGAGTGTGCAGAGAGCTGGGTGAAGGTTTTCCCATCAAAGGTGAGGGGAAAACTGGGAACTGGGCGTCAACAAAGACTCACTGCGGTCAGTCTGAATAGAGCCAACAATGGACGACAAAGTACCATTTTCTGCGTTTGTGTGTAAAGGGCTGAATTATACTGGAAATGTATAATATTAATTGAAATATTTTTGGATTATTGGATCACTTGGCAAAGTGTTTTGTTTAAGACAGTTTGTCAGGCAGTATAAATTCACATTTTCTTCCAACAATAAAATGAGTAGCAGTTATTTCCAGTCCTGTTTCTGCACCTCCACCTCAGCAGGGAAGCATGTGGACCCTTCCAGGGCGGGAAAACAGTGAAGGGGGGGTGTAGTAGTGGTAGGGGCTGCTGCATTGATCAGAGAGAAAGGCTTAAAGCTGTAGGAACATTACAATAAAAGCACAATTTAAAATGTTTTTTTCATTTAGTTGTTTATTGGAGCACAGTTCTCCAGCTATGATGGAGAGTTATAAAACAACAATAAATAAATAAAACAATTGCAAGGTAATTAAAAGAAACACACCCAGAACTGAATTGTGGGATAAAGGTTAAAAAGACTATATTGGGCTGACAAGTGGCGTCAAAACTACACACATTTACTTAAGTAGAAGTATAGATACTGCAGTTTAAAAACACTTCGGTAAAAGTTGAAGTATCAACTTGACCTGTTTACTCAAGTAAAAGTGAAAAAGTATGTGCTCCAAAAACTACTTAAAGTATAAAAGTATAAAGCAACCTTTAAAAAAAAACAACCAGATGCCACTATATGAATTGAAAGTTCAATTTTTCGAAAAATTCTTTGAGATAGGGCCAAGGATGAGGGAGGTCTTGTTGGTCTCCATCTCTCAACACGCTCTCGCCTGTATCCGACCTTTCAGATATTTCAACATCTTTTTCTTAATCCTACATTGTAGCATGGCATAGACTATATATGTTTGCAGTTTGAAAAACACCTGCTTGCTTCTGATGATTTCCTTTAGCTAACCAATGAGTGTTTGCGTTATATGACTCGTCCAATTACACTAGTTTTCATTAGATGTGGATGGCGCCAATGATCTGCATTTGATGGCGCACATGGTGTGAAATAAATATTTATAAACATTAAACCGAAGTCAAGAGTAGCGAGTAACATTGGTTTTAAAAAAATGTGAGTAAAGTACAGATACTTGTTTGAAAATGTAATGAATAGAAGTCAGAAGTAGGAAGAAAAATAAATAATTGAGTAAAGTATAGATACCTAAAAAGTGTACTTAAGGAGTATTTGTACTTTGCTACCTCTTCTTAGAAGGTGTGTAAAATCTCTAATGGGAGGTGCACATAATAATCTCGAAGGAGAAGTTCAGTTGGGAATATTTTAAGCTTTTAACTGATACCTGAAGCAATTCCCAAAAAAAGAAAATTGAAAACAATCTACTGGACTTTGTTTCCAAGTTTGAAGACGCTTCCCATCCTGGAAGCTTTCTTAACTCAAAATGAATTAGGAAAGCTTCCTGGATGAATCTTCCCCAGCGCACCTGGAGCAATGAACCAAGAACATATTCTGAGCTTATATTCTCATGGGGATGAAACAATTAACCAGATTAATAAAATATTGAAATAATCATCAACTAATATAGTAATCAGTTAATTGTTGACTGGATTATAAATTTTGTAAAAAATAAAAAAAATCTTCTGTAAGGAACCTTTAATCGATTAATTGAAGATTGAGATTTTGTTTTTTAATTAAAATCTATATATTTATTTCAATTTTAATTTGCATTAACCACAAAAATGTAGATGCTTGCTTGTTCAGAGTCCATGCCACAGGACTCTGCCAACTTCTTCTCTGGCTAGATTGAAAATGTCAGCGTCTTGTACATTACAATGAGACCAAACTTGAGCGATTCAATTTTTTCGAAAATTGCGTTTACATTGCAATCGTAATTAATTGCCCATCACTTGTTAACAGTCATTAATGATGTCATCAAAAAAGGAAAAGAGATTGGTTTTTCAATAGATTCAATAATAGACAAACCATTAGAAACAGAAAACAACACTTCAGTAACTGCAGGTACCCTTACATGGCAGCCATGTTGGATATAAAGGTTGTTTTGAGGCAAATTCTTAAATAGCCCAACATAGAAGGTGGTCTACTAGAAGTACTAATTGTTATAGAAACTTAAAATGTCTTTAGAGGAGTCTTTTATTTCAACTGAGCAACAAGCTGAACGCCCTCTGTCATATTTCACATCCTGCAGTAAAGGTTGCATCATCTCAGCTTTTAAAGGTTTATAACTGTGGCTAACTTTGGTCATCTGCCCCTCCCTCTTTGCAGCAAAAGATATCTCACCTTGTATTTGGTTTTATTTGGAGCTCCAGTGGTACTAGGAGACAGGCCCACAAGTTGCTATGGGCACGTTGCTGTGAGCTGGGGCTGCGTGTTTAGCAGATAAACACTGTGTTCTTCACAAATTGGGCATGTGAGATCATATCTGTCAGATTACTGTTAAATTTCCAAGGTGACTGATGATCCTTCCAGAAAAAGACTGTTAATGAACAGACTGACTTGTTTACCCTTTAAAATAAGCTGACAGCTTTAGGTTTCAGATATTTCGATGATCTGGCAATTCTTTCTACCTGCCCTTGTTTATAGCAACAGAGTTCACATTACAATGGGAGCTTTTGACTCTGTGCACATGATTACTTGTTTTTATAGCTTCAAAAAGCACATGGTTGTGATATAATGGCTTTCTAATTGGGAGGATCCGATCTTGACCTCATAAAAAGATTAGATAACAAAGTTGTAGGGAAGTCCTATTTAAATGTCAAAATCATTCTGGCTTAAACATGTATAGAAATTTGCACTTTATCAGATGATATTACCCCAAAATTCTGAAAATTTGTATAAAAAAAAATTCTGTCTTAAAATCTGTGTTTTTTCTCGTTATCTTATGCAGGCCAGTTAATTATAT